GATGTTTTAGCTGTCTTGGATGCGTGTGTGTGTGTGTGTGTGTGTGTGTGTTGGTATGGGAGAAGAATGAAAGAGCCATTTTCTTGTGTAATCCCAGACCCGAGTCCATTTCCACCCTGACAGGAGGAAGATTAACTTGGTTAGGCGTATAGCTACTCAACCACACCAAATTAAATTAATGGAACAAATTTCCCCCATAATTAAGATGAAAATACGTGTCAGTTGTAACCTTGCCGAACACTAATTATGTACAAATGATTTATCATCTGTTTCATTCTGAAAAGCAATGGGCTCACCTCTCTGATGGTCCTTGCTGGCTGTTCAGAGATTGCTCCTGATTAACAGTGACAGATTGGACTGCGGAGAAGCTGCATGTCACTGGTGGACGAATCAGCAGCAGGCTGAGCTCCCTCTCACATCCCTCCCATTAACCTGTACTGTGTGTGCAGATGAGCAGAATAGGGCCTGGAATGGAAATAAAAACAAGGGATAAGAAGGGATTGAATTTGGGGTGGGGATGGGAAAAAGGGATTTCACCTATCCTCCCATCTTCTGTATCTTTCATCCATCGCTTGTCATTGGAAGGTCGTCCAGGAGGGAGGGCAGAGGGGCTGCCTCATGCATTTAAACATTCACACAAAAAGGTAATTTAGAGAATAATCAACCTCACAGAACTGTGGGACCCAGAGAAAGCCATGCATGTTCGGGGACAAAATGCAAACCCAGTGCAGATAGCGCCAGACCAGGATCTGCTTGCACCATGTAGGTCTCAGCTGTTTGATATTCAGGCTTATTAAACAGGGCAGACAACTTCCAGCTGAACCTCCTGTATGTATGGTTGGACGGATGGAATTTCCTTCCATCTGTCCAACCATACATTTTCTAACACACTTATTCCTAGTTGAGTTTCAAGGGGTCAGTGTCTATCTCCGTCCTGCAAAAGGTCACCAGTCCATCGCAGAGCCCTGGTTCAGTTTATGTCCATATAATTAATCTAACAAAATTCAGGGCATTTAATTTTTCTATATCAATTAAATTCACAAGAGTTTCTGTTAATATGAACATCATTGTTTGATGGCTTATTTCTTGAAGAGGAAGGTTCCATCGTATCAGCATGAGCCCAGCAGATGGAGCTCTAGGGCTAGGCTCTACATGCTCTACAAATTGCTGTGGTTAATTATAAATTATCATTATGCTGGCACACTTATTCACTTCATGTCTGGGAAGAATGGATTTATTTGAGGGAGCAGCAGCTTTGATTTGCATCAGAATCGCAGCCTCTTGTGTAGTGGTAGACACATTCACCAGTCTGTAATCATTGTTGTGCAGACTTACTCACAAGGGATATTCCCTCTTTTTTCATGATCATTATGTATGCCACACACATGCTGCCATAGGTTTCCTGCTGGCAGCAATGGTTCATTTGCATTTTCCTCTCCTCGTCCCAAACAGTTGTGCAGTGATATTGATTTTGTTTTAGACCCCCAGCACTTCCCCCTACATGAAAAGGAACAAAGGTTTTACATTCTTTATTTTTCTGTCTGATTCCTCTTTTGCACTAGAATGGTAGTTTATTTTTTTGGTTCCAAAATGTCAAACTCATCAGGCATGATTTGACTTTCTGTTGTAAGTTGGGTCCATTAATCAGATGCCACAGTGAGCTTCCTCTACATCTTACATCTCTGTTCTTCCTTCAGTCAGCTTGTTGGTACAAACTTGACTATTCCCCAAGCTGCGAAGAGACAAGGCAGCAGTGAAGAGGATGCATGTCATGCACAAGTGCATAACGGACAGAATGTCACACAATTGAGTTCAACATTTGTAAAGCAGTTTGCATTATGCAAAATAGAACTATGTTGAAAACAATCTGTATTTTATTGTTGATTTCCTACACAATAAAAAAATGTTTTTTTTTTTGTCTTAATGTAATCTCTCCTAAGCTTAAAAAATGTAACTTTTAAGGCTCCAAAATTCTAAAAACAAATAAGCTGCAACCATTTTCTTCTATTGCTCCCATTTCATGTTTCTGCCTTCAGTGCTCTTACTGGAGGATCTCGTCACCATCAGAAGTGTCTGGGGATTAGCAGACGGAGGATGCAGGGAGGGGTCTGGTGTTATCATAGACCTCAGAGGTCATGAGGCCTATTATTTCACAGTGGTCCACTGAAGATTACATTTTAAGCCAAGACCTGACTCCACCCCTCTATCATCATCATCCACATCCAATCCACACCCCATCTTTCACGTTTACACTGACAGAGGTGACAATGGCCTGATAATGAAGAGACCCACAGAGATCAGCGAGGGAAGTGGTGATATATTGTATCCCTGCCTATTGTCAGAACCCTCAAATTGACTACTAATTGAAAAACCTGCTTGAGCCCCAGCCCCGTCCTCTCCCCTTTACAAGGCTTCCATGATCCTCCTAATCACTGGGGTTAAGTGATTGTCCCATGAGACTGTTGATGGAAGGATAACCAAAACAGGCAACAGAACTAAGAATTCGGTTTGAGAAATCATAATATTCTTTCTGTGCTGCCAAGGGCAGATGGACACACTTTTAATATTTGAATGTACATGATGAATCAGGCTGAGCAATAAATCTAGTCAAATATCCATTTATCCAATGTCTTCCTCAATACAATATTCCCTATATTCCCTATCCCTATCAGCGCTGGCCCAACACTAAGCCGTTACGGAATGAAAGATTCTTCAATCACGACGGAAGCTCCGGTGTCTTTGGAGAACATTTCTGTTCAGTTTCTATTGAGCAGAAAACGGCAATAACTGACAGCTAAAGACAACCAGGGGCGCTGCCAGGAATCTTGGGCCCATGACAAAAAATTAAATTGGGCCCCCCCCACACAGCTGCTGTTACAATTTCTTGAGTATATCAGACCCATCAAAAGCGTCACAATTTTAAAGACTTGCAACTGCCTTGCTTTCTTCGGTCCAATACTGATAACTAGCACAATATTTACTGCTCATGAACTTTACATCTAATAGACCACATACAGTTTGCATAGGTTGCTTAAATTTGTTCTATTAGTTTTAGCTTACTGAAAGGTCTCTCCTCAGTCATAGGCAATGTGCAAAATATAGATGGAGCAATCCAGACTTCTCAAAAACTGCTATGTGGTTGCATTTGATTTAAGTTGCAATATATAACTTTAATTAAAAACATGTTTTCTCCATATTTGTTAAAGCTGGCATCATGTTGTGACAGTTTGTTACAAGACAGATAATCTGTGAAAACAATCAATCTCACTCACTGCTAAATGTGCTAATGGTGGAAAAACAACCTATCATGATAGGAAAAATGTTTATCTGCTGTCATTGATAGCTATGCTAACTAGACTGAGCATCCATAACAGGTTGCGCTAGCTGCAGCATTGGGATGTGCAGCCACATGAGATTGTGATTGACAGCGCTAAAACTCTCCTGCCACTGATTGGTTGTTTCTAGATCGTACTGGGAGAAGGCAGAAAAAATAGATTTTTCACAGATTATGTCCCATGCAAACTGTCACAACATAATGACAGTTTTAACAAATATGTTAAAAAAATATTTTATTTATTTATTTAAAAAAATTTTTTTTTTTATAAAAGCTTCTTATTGCAGGTTTAATTTCACTTAAGAAAGGGCAGGTCAGGAGGGACGTGGGTTAGAGCTGCAGCTGACTATGTTGGTAATTTCTTTCCTTTATCCATTAAATGTTAGTGAAATGGAGGCAAACTGTAGCTAAGCTATCTATGCTGAATGGTTGATGATCTCACATCATCAATGAGGTTGGGATTAATGAGGTTGATTGACAGCCCTAAGACCGTCCTCCTGGTTCTGATTGGTTGTATTACTTGAACCAATAGCAGCTCAGGGAGCAGATGGAGGAGAGATTGTTTTCACAGATTATCTGTCTTGTAACAAACTGTCACAACAGGGTGCCAGCTTTAGCAAATATGGGAAAAACTTTTTTTTCTGCTTTCTCTCTGAGAAAAACTGGGTTCTAAATTGACATGTTTATCCCTTTCTCTCTCTGTCTCTCGATTTTTTGGAAACCTAATTTAAACCTAAATTATTTTTCTTAGCAGCATAGTAACTCACAGTTGTTCTTGTCTTCGACTGACTGCTGGGCAGACTGTCTGGGAGGAGTAATATTTATTTGAGAAAACAGTATATTTCTTAAATTGACAGGGCTCCATTTAAAAAAAACAATTCTATGAAATATATATATATAAATGTATATATATATATATATATATAAATGTATATATATATATATATATATATATATATATATATATATATATATTTCACTATATATATTTTTTTTTCACTAGTCAAAAAAAAAATATATATACAATTATTAACATAGACCCTCTTACATATACAGAATACATATTCAGTATATCAGGAATGTCATTCTGACTAGTCAGAATGTTAATTTAAGATATCTTAAATAGAAAAGCTGTGTAATTAAAATATCTCTAATTCATTTGGAGATATATGAAAAGGAATCTTGACTAAAATTATAATTCAATTTAATTTAATTTTGTCTAGTCATTATTTGCTTTTAAGATATCCATAATTTAATTTTCACTAGTCAAAACTACATTTCTCCTATCCAAAAATACATTTAAGATATCTTGAATTGTGGAGTCATTCGAGATATCTTTAATTAGAATTATGAGTAGTCAAAACTACAATCGAGATATCTTGAGTTTACTTCATGACTGGTCATAATTTAATTGTACATATCTGAAATGTGTATTTCATGGTAGATGTATTGAATTGAAATCTCCATACGTCATTTCGACTAGTATGAAAATAATTACAGATATGTCAAGTAGATATTTTGTGTAGTCAAAATATAATTAGACATATCTTAAATTTCACAATGCAATGTAAGGGTAGTAAAAGTGAATTTATGATAAAACGGTCTGCCATACAGCAAGCTCCTTTCTCATTGTATAACGTAGTTGCGTCATAGATGTCGAGGCTGACCAGCCGGAAGTAGTCGGAGTGAAGAGCGAAGGAGAAATCTTAGAAACTGGTGGTCTTTGTTTGTTTGTGATAAGACTTTATAAAATCCCTCACAATGTTCTGCGGCGGTCAGAGATCTTCCGTTTCAGGATAAGGTAAGAGTTAAGTTTGATTTCATCCAGTTTGCTATGACTGGGGATGTTAAATTGCCTCCAGTAGCAATGTGAGCTGTTTTTAGTTCATTTCGTTCAGCATTAAGTGGCTTATCACAACCCACGTGACATTGTGTTATTAGTGTATTTTTTTTTTTTTTTTTTTTTTTTTTTTTTTTTTAGCGAGAAAGGCCATGTTTCTGTCTGACACACACCGAGCAGGACATGGTCGTGTGAAAACTTCTCCGCCTCTAAGCTTTTGTTGGCTCACAGGCGACCCATCTCACCCGGTGTTATAGATGAACTGGTGGCGGCAAGTGGCAAAGACAGATGTTTGTGTGGGCGTGGCTTTTTAGGACCCCTTTACCGAACCAGGAAGTAAACAAGGCGAGAAACTTAAAAAAAAAAAAACTACACATTTTTGCAAAAATACTGTCCGAAGCCGTAAGAACCCATTGAGATCTCGGAAATAACTAATTAGATAGACTTTTATTGGTCGAACATGGTATGTTTCCTTTTTTGTGTCTTTTTTTGACATTAATCTGCAAAATTACCAAAACATGTAAATTACGCAGAACTTGTCCTGATTTCTGTGTTGCTTCAGAGGTTGAAACTCGTCAAAGGAAGATCGAAATAGATCTCAAGATGCCATAAACAGATCTCAAAGCAAAGATTAATCCCTGAAATCCGACATAAATGTTGAAGAGCCATGAGATTGAAAATAAATGTTTAAAAAGATGGACTGGCTATGTTGTTTTTTACATCTCCTCATTATGATATTTCAATCCGATATCCACAGAAACGATAGCAAATGTTTTTTAAACTCTGTTTTTTTGCAACATGTTATAGTTTATTTCCCAGTTCATTTGCAGAAGACATGGCGGCCAGAGATCTATGTGACAGAGAGTATCATCGCTTCTTTATTGGTTGATATTTTTTCTCATAATTTAACTTGACGTTTCTATTCTTTTCATCAAATGACCCTAATACTCAACTATAAGAGACAACACAATTGTCTCATATACTTTTACATCAGAAATGGGTTAAAATCATCACTCAAACTGAGATTCTGAAAGTGTCACCAGTTAATCCAGGTTTGAATCTTACAGTGCGAGATATTATTCATTGGATCAGAATCAAAAACAGGTAGGATTTATGGACTAAAACAGCACTCTCAAAACTCAGCGACCGTGGGTATGAGTTCAGCTAGAGATTTCGTCTGATTCACATTTTGGACCCATTTATTTTATTGTCTAAACAAAGAATATTCACTTGTGTGGTATATTTTGGTGATTCAATATATTCTTGAAAATTCCTGCACATACAAATAACTATTATTGTTTTCAAGAGATTGTACAGAAAGAGATATTTTCTAATTTGTTTATTTACACTTGTCGCGTTTTGATCAGGAAACGACACAGCCGCCTAATTTTTTACAAACATCAGTCAAACGGGGTTGAGGACCCCGTTTGACTGTCTAGTTAATTCAGGTCTTAATGCGGCTCGTTTTGTTCATATGTCCCCTCGTCACCAGCCTGCAAACAGCTTCACAGGAGAGAACACAGACAAATACTGTAGATATGGCTCATAATCTGTTGGTGGTATCTGACACTATAGTTTATGATTATAACTTTGGCTTGAACATTTGGATATCACTACCAACTACAACAGATGTTTGTGGCTGTTAACTTTATATCATTTAGATGAGATCTTATTGCAGTATAACTGATCGACATTATTTGATATTCCTCTCTATTTGGACACGTAAACACCACAGCAACACCATCAGTATGTGATTGAAAGTTTATTAAATATGGTGACACCAACCTCATTGTTTAGCGACACTTCCTGTGGGTAGTGTCGCTAAAAAAGAGGAAAGTTCAGAAACAGTTTGGTTGTATTGCAGGATCTGAGCCAGAAACACACACTAGGCTAGAAGTGTTAAGTAATTCACATTACAGGAACTTGAGGGTCAATTCCAATGTTTTTCTGATCAAGGCTGGTTACAAAAAGCAGAAACCTTCCACTTAGTTTTACATTCTGGCTGTTCATGAGATGAAATTCATTATTCTGGTGAACCTGAATGTGAATGTGATTGTCGCGTTACTCATTGAACTGGTTCTGCTCAAATGTGGTACTTTCGAAGCGTACTGAACGCTGCTCTGTAGAAACTTTTGAAACATAATTGTCATGTGCAACATTAAACATATTTGCTTCAAATATGTATTCTTCAGAAAGAAATTGGAATAACTCGAGAGAAGAATGATCAATAGTGGAAATGAGAACAGAATAATAATTGACCTTATTCTCTGTGATGAGATCAAAATGATCCACATGGGAGAAAACTTCCTCTTCCTTGTTGATCCATAGTTTTCGATAAGAAGCCAAACAACACAAACTATCTCCATCCAACAAAACCCACAAACATGTCGATACATTTTCTGTTTATTAATACAATTTGGCGCGTTCACAACCAAACGACACAGGAACTGGATCGGTCACGTGGTTTTTCTTAAAGAGATACGCGCACCGACACGGAGCTTCGCCTTGTTTGCTCGGCGCATGTGCCGAGGTTTCAGTCTCGTCAGACCCATCATTAGGTATTAACATACTACAAAATATAAATATGGAAAAACGGAAGTAATCTAATTCATCTATGTAATGCAGCGGTGTAACTTTGTGTTGTAAATTGGTGGGGACGCATTATTAGGAACATCTGAGGAACGGAGGTAATGCTGATGCACCTTGGAAGGCCTTTTTTGTGCTAAGAACAAGGCCAAATTTAAATGTGAATGCCATGCATTCTTAATCAATAACCTAGGCTTGTCAGATGAATAGTACTTATTTAAAATAAAAACCTTTTCGAAGGTCTTAAACATACTAAGAGATGAAAGGATGTTGAACTATCCATTGTCTATAACAGTGGTCCCAAACCTTTTTATTACTGCGGACCGGTCAAGTCTTGGCAATTTTGACCCAATTTTCCCTTTATGATAATCTTACAACGTCCTGCAGTGTGTGCTGCTGTGTTGAATATGCCCAATATAAAATCGGCATTTTCAACATTGACTTGTCCCGATTATCGCAGCCTGTGGGGGTTTCCTGCCTGGGAGCGAGAGGGCAGCCTGTTGAATGTGACAGGTAGCCAATCAGAAAATGCTGTGATGTAAGAACAGAGGGAATCCCAAACAGCTGACACGGCGCAACTGAGAGTCCGGTGGACATCGAAGGTGATATGTGGAAATGTTTATTACTACATGTACAATACATTTTTATATACGTTTATTATATGTGGTTATGCTTATTCAGTTAAAAATGTTAACTATGAAAAATCATAACTCGTCACCAAATCATAGTGCAGAAATAGAGCAGTTGCTCCCGCTTTGTTTTATCCAATGCCTTTTCTTTTTATAACGTCCACAAGCTATCTCTACTGCTTCTACATCGTCATCTGTGTTTGATTATTATAAATTCCTGTATGGTATGTTGGGAGTTTTACTGATATTTCTTCTGGAATCGGGATGTTTGTGACTGGAATCGGTTCTTGTGGTGTGTTGCTCCTGCCATGTGGCTGGACACATGAACTGACCGAACCTGTTGGACTTTTATTGGCTGACAATCCTTAAATCGTGCTGTGTGAACCAAACCTAAACTCAGAAGCTCTTTTCCTCTCATCTCAACCAGTGTCCTGATGCTCACTGACTCTGGTCGCTATGGTAACGTTTACATCCCTTCAAAATAAGATACAGATGCGCAACAAAAGCAAACATTTTACTTTTGTGAAAATTTTAACTCACATTAACGACTAATGTCCGTGACTTCTGGGGCAAAACATAGATTTCTCCTCTCAGTGCCTCAGACAAATGATCTGCCAGTGCGGATGAAGGAATTTTTTTTTTTTTTACGAAATATTTTAAAAGGGAGCCGTGAGCTTGTTTCTCCCATCTGGGAGTGATGAGAGACAATGACACCCGAAGTGCTGCCAATGCACACGGTCTCTACGTGGAGAAGCAGTTTGAAGCATCATTAACGAATCGGTCACCATATCATGCAGAGCGTCTTGGAATGTGGGAATCACCTACCAGGATAAATTCACTCTCCTGTCTCTTCTCTGGACCTTTTCCCCTCAGCAAAGAAACTTTACAAAGACATGTGATCTGTTTCTTACTCATTTTGCTGCTTGTGGCTCAATATTGACGCGCAAGACGTAACCGAGAGAATCTGGTTAAAGGATTTTCAAAATAAAAGAACCTCCAGACTCAAATAATACATAAAACGGAAATATTTAATTATTTCTTGCGCGCCTGATACCAATCGGTCCACGGACCGGTACCGGGCAATGGCCCGGGGGTTGGGAACCACTGGTCTATAATGTATTTGTAGAATTGGTTAAAAATGACCTTTTTAGTCATATTCTAATTCATGGAATGAGGCTGTATATTTGCTCAGTGCTTGTCCACAGTTGAAAACAGTTACAAAATTCAGCTCATGCTGCTACCACAAGATTTTGCCCTTGTGGGAAACCGCCAGAGCATGTCACATCTGTGTCTCCACTCGTCAAGAATTTCAGTGGGACATTTTTGGGGCTATAGGCAGTTGGGTTGTAGAGTGACCATCAATATATTCTATTCAAATTTGAATTTAGGGGTTAGGTTAGGCTAACCCTATAGCTCTCCATCAAGACTCTGGTCTTGATGGAGAGACCAGAGTCTTGATGGAGAGCTATATTAAATATGAATAAGAATTTAAAGTTTATCAATATTTGGGAATGTGTTCTTGTATTATCATGGCATTATCATTATATTGCTTGAAACAACAATAATGTCCTTATTGTTTGCAAATCCAGCAAAGTTAATTTTTGTGACAGGCCTTTTTATGGAAGATATGATTTTGCCATCTAGAAACTTTTACTTAAATGCATTTTTGAAAGTATTCTGCTTTCATATTACTGGATGAAAAATATTTCCAGTGGCTAATTTTTGATAGTTACTGTCGTTTATTGGTCTAAAATGAACAAACAAGCAAACCACAGCAAACCTGCTAAACTAAAGAGAACATGCAACACACCCAAATCTGTCTTCTGTTGGTGGGCTTCACACCCATGCCTGATGAAGCCATCTCAGGCACATTGGATGTTAAATCACTTAAGTGTTTACATCATGTTTATCATATAAAAACATAAGCATCATTTTTTTAACAACTTAAAGATATTGGCTTGGTCTGATGGCTGAAATACAATTTAAAGGAAACCCAATAATAATCACTCAAACCTGCACCATTTGAGTGAAATGGTGAAGGCTGCACCATTTCAAACATAAGAAATGTTCTGGTCCAAAGTGAACTAAAGGTTCACAGTATGGCCTTCTACCTCAGTTGGTTCATAAAATGCACAAAATGATTAGCAATGAATAAAATGTATAGTTTTTGTAGTTTATTTTTGAAGAAATCTAAAGTAGCCCTAATTTATCTCAAGAAAATGTCAACTGTTTTGGGGGGAAAAAACTAACATGATCTCTAATCTATTAGAGATCACGTTAATTTTCCAGTTTTTCCAGTGCTTTCATTTTCACACATCTTAGCAACTGCTGTCAACACAACAGTGAAGTTCAGGAAATCCTTGTTGCCAAACTGGTAACTTGTTGATTGCAAAACTCAAAATGTGGTATAAGGAAGTGAAGTTAATGCATGGCTATTCAAATAAGTTGCAGCTATTAATGCTAAGACAGAAAATAAAGTTGTCAATAATTTTATGTCAAACAATTGTCAAAAATGTTTTGTGACAATGGATCGGACTCTTTTTCTGTGCAACCAGATGAGGCTTCTGGATTCAGTCATGGTGGAGAAACATACTTCCTCTTCTGAATGTGTGCAACACCGACTACGATGAGCAGCAGTGCATTGACCAGTGACCAGCGGTCAGAGAGACAGCACAATAGCCGGGGACCCTATGTGTCATTTATCACCAACAGGTTTGCTTTTGACTGTCTCACATTACCTTGATTATGGGGGAAATTTTCTGCCATAATTTGTCTGAAAGCAGGACTTCATGTCTTTCTTCTCAAAACTTGAAATGCTTGTACTGCAAACTTTACTGTGCTTTCTCAAACACTTCTCCTTGCTCTCAAAACTTTTCTATGCTCGGATCAAATCTCCGCTTGCAAACCTCTCTGCTCACTTGCCAAACATTTTCTATACAAGCTTGGAGCAGAAAAGTACCATCGCCTGGCAACCTCTCAGCCAATCGAATGTGTTATTCTAGGTGAGTGGACGTGCCAGGGCTCCCCCCAATACTCCTTTCCCCCACTTGAGTCAAAGTTTGAATTTGCTAGAATTGCCATGGCTACTGGTGAGCATTGAGTCACTCAGCTTTAAATGTGATTTATTTGCAATGTGGACACAGTGAAATGCTCGCCAGAGCTTTGACTATTTGGGGAAGATTTGGTGTTGAGTGGATGACTGTCAGACAGGCTGCAGTGCTGAGGAAGCAGGAGAAGTTAATATTCGCTTTGGCTGCTCTGTCTGCTCAGGACAGACAGGTTCAGTCAAGCTGCAGAGTGCTGTTCCCATAACAACATGATATATAGCTGAAAATGCTCTTTATGTCCGAGGTTGGTGTTTGTACCCAGCAGCTGTCAGGACAGTTGCTCTGTTAGTGTTAGTTGCTGCTATGATGACATAAACAAGCCAGAAGCTTAGAGCCAACTCTTTCCTTGTTCTATCCATCTTTTACACAGTATAAACACTAAATGTATTATTAGTTATTGTTTAAAAATGAACAAATAAATAAGTCTCGAAACGAGTCTGAAAAATTGCTAAACAGTGACAAAGTGGACTAGTTGACAACAGTGCTTCTTTTGTTCTGATCACTCCCATCTCTCTGTTCATCCCACTCAGCCATGTCTCTTGGCTCCTCACATTTGCTGGAATTTTTTCAAATTTGCCATAACTTTCCCCATAACTTTCAGAAATTAGTTATACTTTAAAGAGTCAGGACAAAAAATGGCTGTTGATTTTTATCAGTTTTATGGGTTTTCTATTAATATCCATCTATCTAGATTGTTGTTCACTGTCTGGCTGCCGAAGGAGGAACAGCTTATCCTCCTCTCTTTCGTCCTTACTGATAACTCTGCCTGTGAATTGTTTTTAAAGCGACAGTTTTTATAGTTAAATGATTTCAGGCAGTCCAAACCTAAGGACTGGGAGATTTTCTTACTTTTCTTTATCTCCAAGTTAAACCAGGGCTGCAGGGCTGACCCCAAGGACATGAGCAGTATTTTACAACGACTTCAGTCTATAGAAATGAAGATTAAGCTGCTGGAGGTGAACTTTGAGATCAACGCTACCTGTGGAAATGAAACAACCCTTCCTCAAATCAAGGCCCCGCAACAAGCAGCTCACCTGGAACGCTCTGGGTGCCAATCCGAAACGGGAGTCCCACACTGCGGATCCGATGAGACGACTATCAGGGAGAACCCTGCACCTGGACGAATCAGCGTGGCCGGCTCTGAGCCGAAACCCACCTTCAACTTCAACACCTGCTCCGCCAAAGGAAGACAAACAAGCAGCTGCAACCAAAACGCCTCAGTGGGGTCACCAGGTGACCCCACTGACCCCGCTCCCTCAGACAAAGCAACCAGCAAGAGCCTCAAAACATTCCCACACATTTCTTTCAGAAAGTCCTGCCTGTTATTGTTACTGATCTGATACAAATAGTAACTCATCACTCACATCAGGTGTTTTCCCTCAGGCTTTGAAAACAGCAGTCATCAAACCACTGTTAAAAAAGAACAATGGACAAATCACTACTGCAGAATTACAGGCCGACCTCTGACCTCCCATTCATCAGCAAAGTTATTGAAAAAACAGTGTAAACAATTAAATAGTTTCCTCATGATGACCAACTGCTTTGACTCTTTCCAATCTGGTTTTCGTGCTCACCACAGCACGGAGACTGGCCTAGTCAAAGTATTCAATGATATCCATATAAATACAGACTGTGGGAGAACCACGGTGCTGGTTCTGTTGGACCTCAGTGCAGCTTTTGACATATTACTGAATGCACTGGAGAGTTGGGTTGGACTCTCCGGTTCGGTGCTCGACTGGTTTGAATCTTACATAAAGAACAGGATTTCTTTGTTTCAATTGGAAACTTCTCATCAAAGAGGTCAAAGGTCACATGTGGGGTACCCCAAGTTCAATCTTAGGATCCCTCTTATTCAATATTTATATTCTCCCACTAGCTCAGGTTATAACAGGAAATAATATTAGCTACCATAACTATGCAGATGATCTCAGCTCTACATTATGATGTCACCAGTGACCTTTGACCCCATCCAATCACTGAATAAATGTTTAGAACAGATACATGTGTGGATGTGCCAAAACTTTCTCCAGCTGAACAGAAACAAAACTGAAGTCATTATTTTTGGACTAAAGAGGAACGATCTAGAGCTATAGATCTAGAGCTATAGATCTAGAGCTATAGATCTAGAGCTATAGATCTAGAGTCAATGCACAGCTTCAGTTATTACAACTAAAAACTAGAGATCAGGTCCGAAACCTGGGAGTAGTGATGGACTCACACCTGAACCTTGCGAGTCACATAAAGACAGTTACAAAGTCGGCCTTCTATCACCTGAAGAACATCTCCAGGATTAGAGGACTAATGTCTCAGCCAGATCTAGAGAAACTCATCCATGTGTTTATCTTTAGTCGCATTGATTATTGTAACAGCGTCTTCACAGGCCTGTCCAACAAATCAATCCTCCAGCTGCAGCTGATCCAGAAGCTGCTGCTCCTGTTCTCACTAAAACCAGGAAGATAGAGACATAACAGCAGTTTTAAAGTCCTCCACTGGCTCCCTGTAGCTCAAAGAATAGATTTTAAAATACTGTTGTTAGTTTATAAATCACTGAACGGTTTAGCACCACAATACATCAAAGATCTGCTGTTGTTGTATCAACCTTCCAGACTCTCAGGTTCTGGTTCTGGTTCTGCGCTGCATCCCCAGAACCAGAACCAAGAGAGGAGAAGCAGCTTTCAGCATCTATGCACCAAAAATCTGGAACAAACTTCCAGAAAACTGTAAAACAGCAGAATGTATTGTTCATTCCATGATGCATGACTTTGTGTTTATGATATAAAGCGCTTTGAAATGCCTTGCTGCTGAAATGTGCTATACAAATAAAATTTGATCGATTGATTGATTGTTCCTATGTTGATATGGGATAGACAGATATCTCTCTAGTAGCAGACGATGGATGGATGGATGGATGGATGAATGATGGATGATGGATGATGGATGATGATGGATGGATGGATGGATGGATGGATGGGATGGATGGATGAATGATGGACACAGACACACCCACAAGAAGGAAACAAATACAGAGGTTGCCAGGTGATGACACTTTTCTGTTCTAAGCGAAAGTAGAAAATGTTTGGCAAGCGGAGATTTGATGTGAGCAGAGACAAGTTTTGAGAGCAAGGAGAAAAGTTTGAGAAAGCACAGCGAATATTTGAAAGAGAGCGTAAGTTTGGAGTACAAGCATTGCAAGTTTTGAGAAGAAAGACATGAAGTAATGCTTTCATACTGACCATGTGTGCTCTCAAATTATGGCAGTAAAAAAGTTCCCCATAAATGATGTTTGTCATTTGTGTAATGACATGTCAGTTCCCATCATATAAATACATGTTTAGCACTCGCATACCAAAGGCAAAGTTGTGTCATATTTTCTGAGAAAAGCTTGCAGAGTGACTGACGGATTATTGAGTCCAGTTGTGTTTTGCTAAGCTTTTAGTGTTTCCCCTGCTTTCTACTTTGCTGCTTATCTTCTTCCTCCCTCCAGATCAGAGCAGTAACAAAAGCAATGTCAGCAAGGAGTTTTTATGCAAAACAGAGTCAAAGAAATTATAATTTAAAATATCTTAGTAAAAATAACCCCTAACATTCTTGATGCGGTCTCCGTCCTATTAACAGTCAATATTTGTACAGATATGATTTGAGTGTCTATTCTCAAATCTTGCTAGAAAATATTAACAACACATATAAATATATTTGCAAAATGTAGAGATTAGTAGTGCATTTGATCCTTTTAGGCAATGTGGATATATGTTGAATTTGGTCTGCAGTGACTTACAGACCAGTCATACCTTTGTAAATGCGTTTTGCCACTAGTAAAATAAAACAAAATGTAAATTCTTAATTTGATGGTAACGATGACCATTCTCCCACTGTGAGCCTGTATTTGTAGTGAAAATTTACCATAGAGAGTTGCTCACTCTTTCAGTCTGAAGAGACAGATTTTTCTCTCACTTGAATAGTGCGACAAGTCGGGTTTTTTTTAATTGAACTTCAAGTTTCTGGTTTTATGGTATCTCAGTTTTCTTGCTTATCAAGATGTTTTTCAGCAATAAAGATGGGCTTCCTTGGCTTTTCATGCCATAATATTTACAAGGAAGGGGTTTGTCTTGACTAGCTGGTTTTCCTGCTATCACCTGTTTACATTCATCAGTAACCCTACATCAGTTCATCTGTTTCTTCTTGTGTATTCTGCTCTGTCTTCTCAAACCTCCAGTCAGTCGAGGCCGATGGCCGTGTGTACTGAGCCAGGTTCTGGTTCTGCTGGAGGTTTTTTCTGTTAAAGGAGAGTTTTTTCTCTCTACTGTCACTGCACTCATGCTCTGTATGAAGGATTGCTGTAAAGTTAATGCCACAACGCAAGCTTACAAACTCATTCAAGTGGAGTGAATGACTTGAAGCAATAGAGTAAAATATACTTTAATGCATATTCTACAATATACTGGGTTTTCTTTTTAATCTACTTTGAATAATTAACTCAAATTAGGATCATTGGAATGTATGTGACCGAATAAAAAAAAAATTGTGACATTTGCTGTGGATTGGCACTATATAAATCAACTGAATTGAATTGACTGGTACTACTGCAGTACATTGTGTCCTGTCCCAATACTACTGTTACAGACTTTGACAATTCTCAGAGGAAATGTGTCCCAAGTCTTTTACCTACCGTGTTTCTTTTTGTGTTTTTGCCTTTCAGAACCACCAACCTTTTCATCCGAGGGGGAATGCTGTTTTTTGTGGGAGTCTTCCTGGCTCTTGTGCTAAACCTTCTTCAGGTGCAGAGAAATGTGACACTTTTCCATCCAGATGTCATCAGTAGTATCTTCTCATCAGTGTGGTGGGTGCCACCCAGCTGTGGCACTGCCTCAGGTGTGTAAAAGTGGTTAAATATGTTAAAATTATGAAAAACCACAACATTATTAGATTGTAACCCCCTCTTCAAGTGTTCACCATCCAAACTCACTAATAATTTTGTCATGCCTTCAGGATTAAGGAAGTAACCCCAAATTAGTGTGTTTATTTCTCTGTATTTGCTCAAAACTGAAGGGACAGTGACTGACTTCTGAGAAGTTTGTGCACAGAAATGCCCGACTTCCACAAGTCCTGTCTGAACTGAAGCAGAACTTCATCATCACTGTTACTTCATTTCTGCTTTGTTTCTAGCATTCTGTGTTGTTTTGTCCTCCACAGCCATGATTGGCATGCTGTATCCCTGCATCGACAGAAGACTTGGTAAACCTCACAATTTCAAGCGGGAGTGGTCTAGTGTGATGCGATGTGTGGCTGTATTTGTTGGTATCAACCATGCCAGTGCTGTATCCTTTTATTTGTTGTTTATTGTGGCTGTTAAAGTGATTAAAATACACAAAATGTTAGTATCAGTATGCAAAGCTTAGCAGTCCAGGAAATATGGGAATAATTCACAGACAAATCAAAACTTCACGCTAAACTTGAAGCAACATGGATTCTGTGCCTCCTGCTCTCCCTCCAGCCCCAGCCATCCTCTCAAGGCAGCGCTTATCCTGATTGCTGATATAACTTCTGCACTCCTTTCTCCACACCCCCCTACTGGGGGGCATGGACTAAGACCCTCCCGTCTATATGAATAACAGGAAGACAAACGGCTCCCTCTGTTTCTTCAGCGTAAGATAGCACTGTCTTAAGAGCAAAGATGCTTTCTAGCGGTACCGTCTGTTTGTGCCTGTCTTGTCAGATGGGGTACATCATGTCCTTTGATGGGCACCGGATCTGTGAGGCATGTTTCGCTGACCTTACCCTGACGCCTCAGCCCTGCTGTATTTTCCTCCTGCTGGAAGAGAGGAGGCAGAGGCTAGCCTTTTTCAAGGCTGGCGTTAGGCGTGGCGACGGGCCCACCAAGTCCGGTTGCTGCTCGTGGGGAGATGCTAGCTATGCTGAGCTGGAATCAGATGATTCCCCCATCAGAGAGGATGACAGCAAGAGCAGCAGCGGTTTGGATGTTGCTTCCCAGCTGGGAAACACAGCAGTGGAAGAGAGGCGGCTGAGAGGATGCTCAGTCAACCCTGGGCTCTGCATGTCCCCGGGCTCCCAGCTGTGGGCTCGCTCCTCGATCAAGCTATCTAGCTTGATCGAGGAGGCGGCTAGCGCTCAGAGGCTTCCCGTCTCCCTACCTCCTCAACCATGCTTGAATGAACTGGCGGACGGTTTAGCTCTGCCCCGAGTCGCCGTCGGGATCCTCAGCCTTAGTTTCCCACCGTAATGGTTTACATAACTGAGGCCGCGGCTGAGGCAGCGGCTGAGGCCAAGAAGCCGAGGCAGCGGGGCTGAGGCCGAGAAGCCGAGGGTGCCTGTCTCCACTTATGCGCCTATCACCAGGGTGTAGGGGTTCATGATGTTTTCCCTCGTTTCCCCCTCTCTATCCGGGCCTCGCTGACGTGTTTGGGTCCAGGACATCAGGATTAGTCCAGCAACCTGTGCCCTCTTCTATCACCTGATTACCAGGAGCCACCCGGAGATAGGCCAGTGTCTCTGGGCTGTTGGCTGAACGGGAGCACCTAGAAAGGCACGCTCTCCCTCAGAGTATGGTGTACACATTCAGGGCGCAAGAGCCGCTTCTACCACAGTGTTATATGAATCGAAACGGTCAGCCTTTCAATGCTGGTGCCCAGGAGAGGGCTTGGAGCCTATTTCATGTTCTTTAGGCTGCGTGCTGTCATTTCTCCAGCAGAAATGGACAGAAATCTAGCTTTCAGCACGATTAAAGCTGATGCTGCAGCTATTTCCTCCTACCACAAGGATTTTGGTGACAGAACGGTCTTCAACCACCCGCTGATGAAATGGTTTCTGAGAGGTGTACGCAGAAGCAGACCTGTGTCACACCCACTTTCTCCTCCGTGGGATTTGAGCTTGGTCCGGCCCGCTCTGGTTGAAGCTCCATTCGAGCTTTTAGCTCAGGCTCCTCTTGAGTTCCTGTCTTTTAAAACTGATCTGCTGTTGGCCCTTATGTCTGCAAAGAGAGTGAGTGATTTATTCGCGCTCTCTGTAGCCTTATGCTGTGTGGGAGACTGGGAGTGCATAATACACACTCCAGGCTGAGACTGTTGTTTGTTATATGTAAGCAGATGCTTCATGGTGGTGGTCTGGATGGACTCAGTGAGGCACAGACTACATCCTGCTTTGTTGTTAACCCACTAGCGATAGCCTGAAAGGGCGAAGCCTATGCAAAATAGGACGTTGGTTTGTATTGCAACCCCAGATTCTGTGAGGGGCCACACCAGTAGGTGGGTGTGGACTAAGCTTTCTTCAGTGCTGTGCTGCGCACAAGGGATAAACCACCTGCAATAGCCTTAAAGGGCGAAACCTATACTCATAGAATCTGAGGTTACAATATGTAACCGTTTATTTTCATGCCTCACTACCTCTAGTTCTGTTTTAGTTTTTATTTAAGTTCTGTAAAGTCTTCCTCACCCAAACATTCACTGTACTGCATCTGCTGTGCAAGTTGCATAAAAATTCTTGTTCTCATTATAATTCAATAAACCAGTTTACAGTTCGGACATTTCAATAGAAGCCACCACCTCCCTACAGTAAATGCATCTTGTGGTCCTATTTTCATCAAAAGAACACAGTTTCATGCTAACCAACTTACTACATGTCAGGCAAAACCCTGGATCCTTCCAGGAACAATACAGCACCAATGTGTGAAATTATCTTAAGGTCTGCTTATTTCTCTTACCCCTTTGGTCAGAAAGTAGACTTTGCAAACAATGTCCAGTTATCGCTGACCCTAGCAGCACTCTCCATTGGTTTGTGGTGGACGTTTGACCGCTCCCGCAGTGGCTTTGGTTTGGGAATCAGCATTGCCTTACTGGCCACTCTCACCACTCAGATCCTGGTTTACAATGGAGTGTTTCAGTAAGCTGCTTCACTGCACATTTTTATTTATTTTTACTCTTTAACTGAAGATTACTGTTTTTCAGATTTTCCCATTTAGTTATTCCATTGTGAATACAGTGCAAAGCTGACTTCTATATGCCTATTCTCTGCCTAGGTATACTAATCCAGATTTCCTCTACATTCGCTCTTGGCTTCCCTGCATCTATTTTTCTGGAGTTATTACAATGGGAAACATTGGTCGACAGCTTGCTTGGTAAGAAATGGCAAAAGCATTTTATCCAAATAAAAATCTGAATAGTGTTGTGTATATTTGCCCTTGTAAGTAAATACTTGGTTGCAGTTACATCAGCTGGACTTTTAGGTGGTTTCTCTGCCAGCTTTGCTTCAGCTCCTTTGGAACTGGCCAACCAGTGTCCATAGTTATTATACATTAGATTTGTGTGAACTCAACTTAAAGAGGTTTACACAGAAAAACAACCATCAACGCCTGGGCTTTTAATCATCGCTTTTTTATTGAACTAAATATACCACATCTTTGTTTAGCTGATGGTTTTTCTTGTGTATTATCACAAATCCAGTGCAGTTTTATGGCGTGATGACTGTCACATTGGCTGCTCATTAAGATTCATCTCATCGAAAAAGCAGATCTGCAGTTGTTTGACTCAACTTTGCTTATTTTTTATTTGCATCTGGAGATTGGCACAACATGAAGAGTTATAGAAAGTAAGCATTACTGTGCTTGTATCATTCAGCCTTGCTTGAATGAAGAATATTGCTGTCTTTCTCTCAGGCACTTCTGAGTGATTCTTCCTTTTATAGGAGGATTATTGTTGGTTTGAGTGAAAAAGCTAATTTGATTTTTTCACATTTGGAAAAGCCAAAAGGAGTTTGAACCTTCAATAACTTACTACTCCTCTGTTTTTTCCAGTATGAATACAAGTTTCTGCAAGAGAAGACCCATCTGGACTGAGATTTCTGTCTCATCAAAAATCTGAGACGACATGTATTCATCATGTACCAGTTAGGAAATGTTAAACCCATGAACTCTTGACTGGCTGTGTTCTGCAGATGAAGACAGTATTTTGTGATTCGTTCTCTCCAGGTCTTTTTAAAACATTTCTGCTTCCCTGGGATGAAGTGAATCATGACAAGAGTTTATTTTTCCTTGTCCGTGGTGCAGTCTGTGCATCTAACTGGAAGGGGATTATCAACAGAACAATCCTTTTTCACATCACAAACTTTGGCTGCATTGTGCCAAAACAAAATTGATCCCTTTTTCTTTATTCTTTATGTATCAGTAATAATATTTGCAGTCTGTTTAAAATAAATCCTCAAACACATGGACGGACGTATGTCTTTTTCATTTTTGTATGGGGTTAGTGCCAGTCACTACAGGCCCATTTGGCCTATACTATACAATAAAACATGCTAAAGTTTCTGGATTTTGCTGGACAGAGTGAAAATCAAAGACACTATTATGTAAAATACTCCTTTTTAGCTTCACATCATGCTAAAATGTTATTCTCTCATCAAAAACATACACAGAGTGTTATGGGGGAATTTTTCTGCCGAAACGCAAGAGCACACATTTTCGTTTTGAAAGCAAGACTTTGTCTTTCTTCTCAAAACTTGACACTTGTATTCAAAACTTCTCCTAGCACTCACACTTAGTCTCTGCTTGAAATCTCTGCTCCCTTAAGCCCAGTTCACACTACACGATTTTTTTGCCC